CGTGCGCGAACGCGCTGATGACGTATCCTGTCTGCGCGAACCGGGTGCGCAGAGGTATGCAGATACATACGTTGTCAGGCAGGTAGGAAAGCCAATTAAAATGCTCGGACTGAACGTTTTGATTGTATGAACATTTCTTGGTCCTACGCCTTCCACAGAATATATAAATACAGATAAATACGTTTAGACCATTTAACTTAATGATTGCTATCGGGATGTGAAGAGACTCAAACAGCATAACAAAAAAAGTTTCTGAAGACAATCACCTATTGCACCTTTAAGTTAACTATATTAAATTATATAAATATAAAAAGCATACAGAAGCATTTTTGCCATCTACAATTTAGAATGCCTGGAATTTTGAGTTTTAATAGACTAATAAATCAACGTGCGTGAACGCTGTGTGTGATTTGGTGATATAGCCTACTTGATCATGTCAGATCGGACATCATTACAACAACACTTAACATATTATCACAGACGATGCTGTATCGCACACCCCAGACTCGACTTGAGTGGAAAATGAATCATCCGAGGTTGTGCGCGCACTTGTTTGCACATGAGCAAAGGTGTTTTTAGGAGTCTTAACTTGCAAACGCCAGACCACAAGTACAGATACTCCCAAAAAATACTTAAGTACTGTAACGAAGTATTATTACTTCGTTACATTACACCACTGGTGTGGCAGTCGTCTGTGAGGGGCTATTTTCAGTTTTGTTTATTTTATTATTAAAGTTATGTTTAAATGTTCGTCGGTTCCCACCTCCTCCTTCCCGAATTACGAACTGTTGCAATATATATATATATATATAAACTCTTTTAATATATATATATATATATATATATATATATATATAAATCAGAAGGTGGGACAACTCAAAAAGTAAGTTCACAAAAACATAATTCACAAAAACATAACACATAACATAATGCAAGTTCTGTAAACATTAAAAAAGGAATGTTTTTTCACTTGTGGATTCAAGTTCAATAAGCTTGGACTTTTTTAGTTAAGCTGAGCATTGACATGTACATAAATAGGGATTTTTGAACTGTGAACTTTCTTAGACTTGCGTTTGAAGAGCAAACTGGAAAGGTTATATAGAACCACTTCTGTACATCAAAACAAGTTGTATATACTAATATATAAAATTATTATTATATTGTATATAAAATTATACAAGTGCATGATAAATAATCAAATTGACCATGCTCATCAGCCTGACATTGTAAATTCTTGCTTTTGAATATTTTAAGTTTCTCATATTAAATGTCCTAAAATTTTAATGTTAACATTTTTATATAATGTCAACTTTTTCTATGTTTGGTAGTTCAGTCAACCTTTTAAATAGCTGTCTAGCTTGTACTAATCTGAACAGTCTGAAACTTTGTATTACGAGCACTTCCTGAGGTTGTTTGCTTCTTTATGATGAATCGTTTGTTGTATTCCTCAATTGTAAGTCACTTTGGACAAAAGTGTCTGCTAAATGAATAAATGTAAATGCAAATGGAAGTTGGATTTTTTTTTTTTTGACATTTCAGGCTGGACTTCTTCATGAATTTGTCGCAATATACAACAAAGCTGTTATTGAAAGATGAGGCAGTAAAAACGATATTGGTCCTGACAGCAAACCTGCAGCATGTGTGTCAGTGCTTACTGTACTCGAGTCACATGTGAAGTGGAGCTTTAAACCGAAGTCTTAAAGGCACAGCTGAAATTATTGTCCTATTTAATTTTAAAGATCAGCGCTTACAACAGTTTTTTTTTTTGTGTGTGTGCAAGAAACCTTGACAAACATCAAATTACTATCAAGTTTAGGGCCTGGAGATATGACCAAAATCTTAAATATTTATTGTAAAACTGTTTAATATATCACATAATATTACATTAACTGTTTAGTATTGCATTTTTGTTGTTTCAGTAAACTAAATTCAAATTAAAGATATATAATTCTTTTTTTTTTTAAAGATTATTCATAACAAGTGAATCTGGCATCAGTGCAACTGCTTCATGTATCTCTTGACATACAAAAAAAAAAAAAAAAAAATATATATATATATATATTTTTTTTTTTTTTTTTTTAAAAAAAAAAAAAAAAAAATATATATATATATATATTTTTTTTTTTTTTTTTTTAAAAAAAAAAAAAAAAAAAAAAAAAATATATATATATATATATTTGAAGAGTTTGATTAATTTGAGTAAAAATGTGTTTTCTTTACCAAGTAAGTGGCAAGATTAAAACCACTGTTTTCTGTTTCAGATTTTGATTTTCAAAGATTTATTATAAAATTGTATTATTTTTTTTTCCCCAAAATGCAATAAATCCATGACACATTTTATTTTTTATTTTTTCAAAATGCAATAAATCCATTGAATCAATATAAAAGTTATTTTTCATATTGCAACTGTTGAAAATACACAACATAGTCAGTTGATCCACATATGACAGCCTCTGAACTTATATTTCATCTTTGCCATGTTACGTTCATTTAGTTGACTAGTGCTATATGCTGTATTAACGAAAACATTAATGGCATAAATAAAAACACTTACACTGACAAGCTACGCAATATCGCGTTCATAATTGAATGCAACTCATCTGCGATTATGAGCTCGCACTGGAGATTTACTATTAGGCTAATCACAGAACCGGCTTTACTGACTAGATGCGCATGACAATCACATGCGATTTATCGTGCAGCCCTAAGTTTGTTTGTTGATCACAAAGTACAAAGTAGATGAGAAAAACTAGGATGCCGGGTGTATTCAAAGTGCCGCCATTACTGTCTACAGTGCGTGGAATGGTGCACTGTGATTGGTTGTTACTGTTTACAGTGCGTGGAATGGTGCGCTGTGATTGGTTGAGCGGATATATCGCATTCTGCAGAAAAGGGAGACTGGCGTTTGTCGCGGTTTGGAAAAAAAGGGAGAAAACATGACTAAATAAACTAATGAATAACTCGGCGGATATCGCCTTTTACGTAAAATGAAAAATGGACTTTTCAATACCGACCAGATACATACTGATTTTGGCGGAAACTAAAATAAAAAAAAATGTCGATTATCGCGTGTTGGAACCAAACTCTTCATATACTGTGTGTATATATATATATATATAAATATATAAATAACTGTTGTGAAATAGATGCCATTTGAACATTGCACATCAGTTAAATTACAGTTTAAGTGCAGTTACATCAAGTTCTGCATCATGGCTAAAAAACATGAAAAAAAAAAAAAACTAATCAAATTAAATAAAAAAAAATCAATGAACAAAGCTGGCTCTGGTGTAATATACTGTATAATATAGTTACCAGCTTGCTAACAAAGTTTTTTTTTTTTAAATGAGTCCTACCCAGCCAAGACTCTCTGCTTGCATTGTATAGAAAAACAAATAAACAAACAAAAAACAAAATCAAAACATTTTGTACCTTCTCCAAAACATCTCCCGTGGTTTTCCACAAAAAAGGTGTATACGTGATTTTTGTTTTTGTGTGAACTGTCCAGTGAGCGGTGCCTATGGAGGGACAGTTTAGCATAGTGTTCAGGTAGAAGGAATGAAGAACGGGTTGTGAAAGGGGGAGCAGATGGGTTTGCCGTGGGTGAGCCTTTTAGAAGAGATAAAGCAGAGATCATTCAGACAATCAGCCCGTGCCCCGATGCAATCATCTCATCTCATCTGCTTTCAAGAGCTATTGGGCTTTTTATTGAGCTGTTGTGCTGCAGACAGAGGCAGTCTGATAGCACTTTAACCCTCTGATAGGGTTAATATTAAACCCTAGCCTTTACTTCGCCGGTGGCACTTAGTCTTACAAGAGCTGAGCTGAAATAGTTTCGTATAGATGAATGGACCAAAAAATACCTTTAGATGCTGCGCTGCTCTCATCAGCAACGAGAGACCAACTTCCACCAAGTCCCACAAGTTAATGATTTCAAGGCTTGACCTGTTGTTTCATTTTATCTAGTCATTTACTGTCAGACTGGATGACGGCATTATTTGTGCAGTCACAGCTGAGTCAGTTTTTATGGCACAATTTTCTGTTTATATTTAGCTTTTCAAGCTTTTTGATGTCACCGACCCCCAAATACAATAATCCTATTGCAAAGGACTTGCTTAAAGCAGCTATATATAATTTCATGTATAAAGACCCTTTTATAGAGTGAAAAATAAATGTTTTAAATAGTATCTCAAAAAAAATTACCTTCTGTTAAGTTCAACAGAATAAAATAACTGATTGAATCTCATGATTTTTTACCTTTCCTGGCCTTTCCTTTCCTGATTATTTTTATTTATTATTATATTTCATATGAATAATTTTTTATTTTATTTTAATGTATTTGTACTAAATTGATTTTGCTCTATTTTCTAATTGAAAAATGCAGCAATAAGCCACTCAAATCTGTGCATTACACCATGTCCTGACACCTAACATACGTTTCCAGCAGCAAGCAATTTATTACCATACTGCTGCATGACATGACACATTCACAACCAATGAAAATAAACATGTTTAATATTGTTAGGGGAATATGTGCAACAGAGAGGTTTTATTGTTTATTACTTGTTGCTTTTATGTCATACTAGTTTTAGGTGTTACGTACAGTGATTTTACCACAAGTTGGGGTGTATTTGTGCATAATGCAAGTTTAAGGTGGCTCTGATGCGGCATCATTTACACAGAAGTACAGAAGCATCTTAAACTTTACCATTGTTTAATAATCCTAATAGAAGCAGCATTACACAGACTGGATGGGTTAAATGCAGAGCACTAATTCCAAGTATGGGTCACCATACTTGGCCACGTCACTTTCACTTTTCACTTAATAGGAATAATTTTCTAAAAAAACTGAATATGTAGAAAGACAACAATGCTGCAGTATGCTGTATATTTATTTTTTATACTGTATCACTGTGTATTTTATCTTATATAACTATTATTTTTGTTACTATTATTACTACATTTTTGTCCTGTTGTTATTTTGTTTTTGGAAACTATAGGACAGCTTAAAGGGATGAGAGATGAATCCGCCAAGCCCACATACGGATGCCAGGTGACCATCCAGTCCGAGCAGGAGAAGCACATGATGAAGATTTACAGAAAAGAAGAGAAGAAGGAGAGGAAACGTGAGAAACGAGGAGATGAAGGGGATACCTGTGAAAACGCCTTTCATTTTGACCCCAAGGAGCTGAGACTGCAGAGGTTAGCACCTGTCTCTCTGTCTGTCTCTCAATTCATTTCAGTTCAATTCAAATAGCTTTATTGGCATGACAAAAATACATTTTGTATTGCCAAAGCATTAGGACAACAAAGAAAATGGTATATATATATATATACACAGTATCTCACAGAAGTGAGTACACCCCTCACATTTTTGTAAATATTTTATTATATCTTTTCATGTGACAACACATATATATATATATATATATATACATATACACACACACACACACACACACACACGCACACACACACATACACACAGATACGTATCTCTGTCTCTGTCTCCTTCTATCTGTATCGCTGTCTCTGTCTGTCTGTCTGTCTCTCTCTCCGTCTGTCTGTCTGTCTGTCTGTCTTTCTCCTTCATTACGTGAACAAGCACCTCTCTACATTTTAGAGTGTGGCCTATTGAAAAGAGGAAGAGAGAGAAAGCTTGATAAAACTGCTATCTGGAGCTCCTGCAGAAGGGATTTTCTCTTAATGTTTAATTTCACAGGATGAAAAAGAGCAATGATCTGTTTAATTAAAAATGCTGCCGTCCAAATGAGGCAGAGCATGAGGAGAGAGATTAGAGATGAGGTGTTAATACCTCACATGTCTCCTCACGCTCTCAGCCTTTCTATCATCCCGCTGCAAGACAGCAACCAAACAAAAATAACTCTGAAAACCCCTGCTTTATATGGGATTCATGAGGAAACCTCGTCGGCCGTACCTGAATCTCCTAAATGTGCCACACAGATGTCTCTTTTGTAAGATTTGAAGCATTTTATTTGGAGTAATAAATCTTTGGATGTAAATTAATTTTGTTGTTACGTTAGTAACTATGAATATATTTGATGATAGTATGCCTTCAGAAAGATAACAGTTTTGTGTGCTCAAGATTTTTGATATTACAAAGTGTTTTCTAGAAAGAGAATTCACTGTTGATATTTCCACAAATATCCACTCTGGAATTATCATTTTATTTGGAAACAAAATCATGTTAACAGATTTGACAATTTAAAATTGTTCCCTACTAACAAAAACACAAAAAGGAAAAAGGAGACATTTACTTGACCCCAAAGAGTTTACTTCCTAAAATGGACTATGGTTTCATTGTTAACCCTTAAATGCATGAATGTTTCGCCAATCATTATTACATATTCGGGTCTTTAGCGACCCGGACCAATATATCCAGCACGGATGGATCTCTAACTGCTGCAATAGCAAAAACCTCTCTTGATATATTAAGAACAATTACAGAAGAATAAAGTAAAGCATATTTCGTTACCTTATGAATATGAAATGAATGGCGCCAGCATGAGTTTCAAGGCAACAGAGTTCACTGCGTACTTTAATTCAAAAGACATAGATCTGTACATAGCAAAACTTAATAGATGAAGCATAACAGATCCCTATAATGCCCCCGTGGTGCTTTTAACGTGTAGCCTATCAATAAAGGAACGGATAGATTTCCTGACCTGCAGTATCCTGATATCTGCAACTTCCTAATCAACTTTCCCTCCTAACGTTACTCCGGAGACTCTTTAAAAGCCTACAAAAGCCTGGAGGGGGTACAAATGGACGCAATCTAATTTTTTGATGAATATTCAACCTGCTATGTCGTCAGTAGAAGGGTAAATCAAATGTGTTGTTAGCTAATGTAATCGACCCTAGCTGTCCTTGTAGGTAGCCAGCATAGCTATATCACTGTGAGTACAGTAGACATCATAAATGTCATGAAATCTTACTCGTTTAATCCCAAATTTTGGTGCATGTTTTATTGCAGTGAACCATTTTAGTCGTCTATCGAGATCCTTAGGAATACGCTAAAATGATTTCCCCTTTGCTTTATGGGACAATCACATATGTATATACAGTGTATATATATATATATATATATATATATATATATATGAAAATGCGTATTTTTGAATTAAAGATAACTTATAGATTTAATATGGGCTGCTTTTGGTGCTTGACACTTTTTTTATTGGTTATTTTGTGTGTTTTACGAATAAGATAGACTACAAGGTTAAGAAGCTTACTTAAATGTAAAATGTTTTTTCTATATTTTGCAATAAAAGACGGCTTCCCTTATTGATCACGTCTTGGGTAGATTGCATGTTTTCTTGCACGGCGGGATGTTGGACAAGCGCCGCTTGTGAAGAGGGAGCGACCAGCCAGCAGAGGATTCTGTAGCCTTCCTCAAACAGTTATGTTCAGGATTTTCTGATTTACTTAACGAATACTGTGTGAGGGGGCAAGAAACGGGCCAAGGGAGGTCACGTACGGGACACATAAATTAAGCCCAATATACGGGACGACCCGGCTAATACGGGACGGTTGGCAACCCTAGCTTTCTCCTGCCTGTTCTGGCATCCTGGCACACAGCAGCTGTCCACCATGTTGAAATAGTAAGGTCTAAATAGTCTGGTTTTAAATTCCAATACGGGACGGTTGGCAACCCTAGCTTTCCCCTGCCTGTTCTGGCATACTGGCACACAGCAGCTGTCCACCATGTTTAAATAGTAAGGTCTAAATAGTCTGGTTTTAAATTATTGTTGTACAACTTTCGATACCAATGCTCTAGCGCTCTCCTGATTGCCTGTCAAAATGGTGGAGTTTAGAATGCGTGACGTCAACCTCCGGAGCTCTATATACCAAGTTGTCATGAAACTCTAGATGGCGTAACGTAAACTAATGATATTCCCCGCATTAAACGACTTGTCTCAAGCTGATTGGTTTATTTTGCAATCGCAGCCAATGAGCTTGCTGCTTTACATTTAAATGGCTGGTTAGCATTCGCTTGAGCATTGCAGCGCGCTTTCAGTGTTCCTCTGAAACTCAACAGCCAGATAAGTGAACAGTCTTTTCTTCTCATTTCAGTGCATTATTGTGTTCATCAGCTATACATTTCTAAACTTGCAAACATATAAGTCGTAAAACTACACGCAGGTTATTCAAGAGAGGAGTAATTACTAAGCATATCATGTTCTTATAACAGCAGCAGTAAGCGGCTTATCTAGTTCATGTATATGAGAATACAAAGTCAAAGCGTCACAGATTTTAGAACAGTAAATTGAATTGGAGATTACCTATTTGCTCGAAACCTCTAACGCTTTTTTAATGTTTTCTATGGGCATTCATACATTGTGCGAACGGGCTGATTTCAGACGGGATTTAAGTTGGATCGGTTTGCAGTTGGCGTTTCGCAGCTTTATTCCATGCTAACTCAAGGTGAACCCATATAACCATCTTCCACAAACGTCCTACTGTCAACAGCCTTGCTTTTTAAAGCAAAACAACTTAATTGAGCAGCAGAATGGACCTTTTTCACATTTCCGGGTTTCTCAGCAGCGGAAGTCGTCATAGTTGGGTAAACTTGAAGAGCAGTGAATGGGAGAGCACCACAAATATATTTTTTTGCATTCCCAGTTGCTCAAATAGCAAAAGAAAAACTCCACGATAGTGTTTTCATGACTTTCAATAAAAGGAAAAAAATTGAGAGAGACTGATAACGGCAGTCAGAAGAGAGAACGATGTCAAATTTACCGTCCCTCCCATAGACGTCGCATTAGAAACACCCTCGCAATAGCGTCAACTGTTTTTTTGTAATTTGATGCAAAGGTGATGTAATAAAAAGAATAGTGTTATAAATGTAGATAATTAAAAAAAAAATACAAATATGAAAAACTTTCGAGGATTTACGATGCTGATGACCGTTAAACGTGTCATCACAGTCTTGTGAATAGGGTCCATATAATTTACCCGCATATACGTGTACTCGTGGCGCACATGCGATGCAGACAGTTCAGAAGGGAGCGCTCACTCTTAAAGGGGCCACATCTCTTTTTCCCTCGTTACATTTAGTTCAGTGATAGTGAAGAGTTTATTATAAAAAGTTATGTTTAGTAATAGTTAAAGATAATTAATCATGATTTAGTTTAATATATAAAGATACTAAAAATAAATAAAAGTAAATAAAATAAATAAATCAGTTCAAATTCAGTAGCCCATGTGCAATGTAGCCTAATAGTAGGACACTCCTTAAACTTGAAATTTACTTATTTGTTTATTCAGCTGGGCTTATATTCTAGTACTCATGCAGTGTAGCAGCAGTATCCATAGAAATTCAGATTGCGTTATTAGCAAATTATTAATAGCAGCATGCATAGCAAATCAAATTTTGTTTGCAAATAATTTTAGTAGGTAGACTTTAGTTGCTGAAATTTCAGTGACTAAGCATGGATATTACGTAAACTCTTCAAACCAAAATAGGCATGATTTGATTGCTTTTTGCTTATTTATAAAGGGGCTCATAGCAATTCTAAGTACTTTTGTGCAGCTGTAGCAGCAGTATGCATTGCTTTTCAGATAGTGTATAGCGAAATGTAATAACAGGAGGATGCATAGCAAATTCAGATGCAATGTTTGAAATAATATTATCAGCAGAATGCATAGCTAGTTAAATGATAATTGTTGCTAATATAGCAGCGGCAGCATAAAGTACTTTAGTTGCATGTAATTTCAGTGATAACACATGGATGGTAAGTAACTCTTAAAGTGAAATAGGCGTTCTGTTTCTTTTGCTTATCTAACAGGCCTTACAGCAGATTTGTGAACTCTTCAAAGCAAAATAAGCATTATTTGATCACGTTGCTTATTTAATAAAGGGGCTTATAGCAACTCTAAGTACATTTGTGCAGCTGTAGCAGCAGTATGCATAGCATTTCTATACACTAATGTTGCAAATATTAATTTGGCCACAATTAATATAAACAGCAGAAGTATGTACAGTAAAATCAGACGGCAATGTATCGGATAATATTGCGATGAAACAATAGCAATAGCACAGATATATTTTATATATATATTATATATATTTATATATAGTCTGAGACTAGGCTTAAGCCTTGTCTGTGAAACTGGGAGCAAGTGTGAAAAAAATAAAAAATTAAAAAAACGTGCATAGGACATAATTTCCTCATTTCAGAACACTGCATATAAAGACAAT